ATCTCGATTCCACATAAATAATTTTTGATGAGCTGTCGAAGGCACAGCTCCGACTCCATGAATCCACTCCCTGCCAAGTAATGCATTGAAATTGGCATGCGACTGGACCACAACAAACACAGTAGGTCTCGAGTAAGTGCCCACTTTTACGTCTAGGGCAATCATACCTTCTGAACTTGACGTCTTTCCGCTGAAATCGGAAATCATAATATTGTGCTTGACTAAGTCTTTTAGCTCAATGCCAAATTTCTTTAGCATAGTAATTGGCAGTATATTCACTGCTGCTCCACCATCGACAAGGACTCTATTCACCATCTGTCCTTGAATCTCGATGTTCAGTAATAACGGTTTCAAGTGGAACCTCATTTCCTCAGATGGGGGATCGATGAAAGCAGCGTCTCTATGAGGAACTTCACATGAGGTTTGTGTTACCCATGTTATTTTTGGCCTTATGTTTTCTGAATAGAAGTCATCTTCTCGCTCGGCATCTCTTTGTTCTTGGTATTCTTTGTATTCGCTAACATATTCCGCAGGTAAAATTGATATTACCCCGATTTGATGTTCATTCCAAGTACCATCATTCTTGTCATCGAAAAATTCTCTTGCATAATGACTTTCTATCGGTGCAACATTTTCTTCAAAGTTTCTGTAATTATTCCAATAGGGGATCCTTCCTCCTCTTCTCCAGGGCCTTCCTCGGAATCTTCTTTGGAATGTTGGGAATCTAGTGGTCGATCCATCATCATACGAGAGTCTTTCGAAGACATCATTACTTTGAAGTCTACCTCTTCCTCCTCGAGAAGGATACATCTCTCTTCTAATCCACTGCCTCTGATTTTCACTAACACCAGAGCCAACGGATTTCTGCTGACTTTCTTCGATCGTTGGTCGGACTGTTTGATCTACTTTGTCATTTTTCCTTTTATTTTGGTTCTCGATCTTCTTCATCTGTTCTGTTCTGAAAGCTTTGGCAGCCGATTTATCGAACACTGCACTGCAACGTGGGCATAATGACACATCTTCGTCTTTTTCCTTCTTTCTATTCAAAAATTCAATGAGAGAATCTCCTGATCGAGGGTATATTTCCTTTTCGAACTCTTTCTCGAATTCACTCAGGTCAAATTCCATGTCTTCCTCAGATACATCCATCCTGACATGCTTAGGATCGATGTCTTCAGTGACATCTACCATGCCTATAAAGGCCGAATTTGTTAATCGGACATCATCAGTAATGCCCGTTTGGGATTCGAGGTATCCTACTTGAGCCTCGAATGGACTCGTGTCAACTTTCATTGTCATTTCTTCGAACCTCAACCTTCCTTGGTCGATCGCATCTTGGATTGTGTTCCTGAAATGTATACAATTGTTAGTCCAATGTCCATAAACATTATGAAATTTGCAATATTTTCGACCATTCCTTTGTTCTGCAGACGGCAGTTTATGATCATCACTCAACTTAATCTGTTTGTCTTTCAATAAAATATCAAAGATTTTGTCTGCTTTTGTTACATCAAAAGTATATGTTCGATTTGCCATTTTATCTTTTACTTCATTTTTTTGTAGCAATTTACAAGTATATGGAGCCCCTACTTTGAGTTCTGCTATGTTTACTTTCTCATCGACAGTTTCTTCAATATCATTTTCTGTCATGTTATCTGTCTCATATACATCATTTATGTATGCTATTCTTTCCTTTTTCAAAGGTTTCTCATATTTCTTATACCTTTGTTTCTCATACTCTATTTGTTCCACTCTTCTCACTTTATCAGCTAATTGAGCCATGTCATTCAATGGTAAATTGACTAGTTTTTTCCTAATCGAGAATTCTAAACCTGCAGAGGCCATTCTGACTAATTCATATTCAGGAATTTGAGTGAAGCATCTCGATTTCATTTGTCTAAATCGATTCAAATAATCATCTATGCTTTCATGATTGTATCTTTTTATATTCATCAAGTCGATGAGACTCACTTGAGTTTCTCCTCTAAAGAATTGCTCATGAAAATTTCTTTCCAATTGCAGCCAATTATATATCGAATTGGGTGGCAATGACGTGAACCAAGTAAAAGCACTCTTAGTCAAAGAACTAGGAAAATATTTCATTTTTAATTCTTCACTCATCGCTAAATCTCCACATTCGATCTGATATCGAGCCACATGCTCGATAGTCGATTCACCAACTTCTCCAGCAAATTTAGTGAATTTGGGTACTTTATATCCTCGAGGCAATTCTGTCTCGAGAATCGCATTCGGAAAGGGAGATACAAAATATGTCTGATTGGGTAGTCTCAATTCCATCCCTTGTAAATTCATCCTATGTCCTATATTCTGATTGTGTATATTTTGAAATCCTTCGTTCAAATTCCCATAAATATCATTCCTCACATGTTGATACTCATTTCCCATATGCTGATGTTGATCATTGTTTCTATTTCTCCTCAATAGATATGGGGGATTAATATTAGTATTCTGATTAGCATGATTTTCTATCCTCGTTTGTCGAGGCACAGCCAATGCATCCCCGATTCGTGACATTTGGTCTGCTAATATCTCAAAACTAGCATTAGTGTTTTGCACTAATGGATTTAAGACTGTGGTCAACTGTTGTGATAACATATTCACCATTTCAAAATTACTCTCATCCATTTGTTGTCTAAGTACCCCTAATGAATTACTAGATATTCCAGTACCCATGTTTTCAATAGAATCAAAATTAGATCGATGATAGTCTCTATCGAATACATGTCTCCCATGCTCTAAGTTTCCCCTATGATCTAGATTTGGAGATATCTGTTGTGTGCCTACATTCTGTCCACTCCCTGTCTGGGGAATTACTAAGTTTTGAGATGTCCCTAAATTCGGAGGAATTCCAAAATTTTGCGGCATACCTAGTGTTTGGGACATTCCTAAGTTATATCTCGAATTCCTATGCGCTGAAGAAGTTCCAGCCCCACTTACACTATTAAGTGAAAACCCGGGCGGTCTTACACTCATACGTGGCCCTACATATGTAGTTGTAGGATTTCCCATAGTTTGCATATTATTTGGTGCAACCACACTAGATCCTATTTGAGTATTCGCTAAAGTGCCTGAATTTTGTTCATTACTCACGGGTATCGACATACTTACAGTTGTCGATACTACAGGCGTGTTCCCATTATGGCTTTGCCCCCCAGTATTTGGTGGGTGTGACCCATTTAATCCCTCACTGTTACTCTGGTTACTTGATGAACTCTGACTCATGACTCTCCCACTCCTTAATCTCATACACTCTCGAACTAACCAATTTTGTGTTTCTCGACACAAGAGTCTCCCTACCTAGTGCACCAATTTGTTTCTGGTGGAATTTCGATCGAATTCGATTCTAAGGGTGTTTTGGTCCTAATCAAAATTCTACCACGTAAGTTCTTTTTACTTAGGCTAGCAATTTGATTTTCAATCGAAAACATGCATGAGAATCGAACATCACAATATATCGAAAAAGCTATTTTTGGTATTTTGTATTTAAAGTATCGAAAGCGAGTAAAACTATCGAATCGAAAAACGGAATGTTAAATTGCGAGGAAATGTAAATTACGAGAACCCCAAGTTTGCAATAATTGTAAATGACAAGGAATCGGAAATGACGGAAATGTAAATGGCAGGAAGTTAAGTTTGCATGAAAAACTAAATGATGGGAAATCGAAACGTGCAGAAAATATAAATAACTGGAAACTTAAACGCAGAAACTTAAATTTTCATTGAATTGAAATGACAAGGAATCGAAAGTACAGAAACATAAAACTGCTGAATTTAAATTGCATCAAAGTAAATTACCAAGGAAAATACAGAAAACGGTAAATGAACTCGGTGAGCATGGAAATCCAGATTGCCAGAAGCTTCATGGTGTTCGTCATTCTCCGGTAGACTTTCTCACTACTGATTCTGTTTTCTGCCAATTTCTGCTCGCCCCCCCCTTTTTCTCTTTTTTTCCTTCCTTCTTTGCTCTATTTATAGGGTCTCCTTTAAGCCTTCCAGGAATAGTTAATAAGACTGCTACCACGTTCTTTCGTGCATGACGGTTTCTTTTTCTACAATTTCCCACGTTCTCACGATCCTCGACTCCTTTCATGGTCTCAGAACTGCTTTCTATACGTGCGTTTGACTTATTCTTCTCTGTGGTTTTTCCAGAGTTTCGATGTCCATGTTCCCTTCGCATTCGATGATATCGAACACTTTGCATTGCTTTGGGTTTAACCTCAACATCATATGATTCTAGTTTCTTAGTTTTTTATTCGACAACAAGCATTTGGTTATCATTCACCCAATTTTCGATTGTGCTTCTCGATGTTATGTACTACGTACTTCTAATTGGACATCGAATGATTTCTTTTGTCTATCTTACCGATTTATCAATCGATCATATTTCTCGATTCCACAATAACAATAATATATAAAACAACAACGTGAAATACATTTTAAATATAAAGAGAGAAAAAATAAAAATAATTTTTGTACAAATTAATAATGAAAAAAATATATTTAATATTTATATTTCCACTAGTTTGTATACAAATAATTTAAGAAAAAGTAAAATATTTTCAGAACTAAATTCAATACTTTTTATATAATATACCAAAATAATATTAATTAAATAAATTTAAATTTATTACAACATATACAAATATTTGTAAACTTATATGATATTAATAAATTATTCAAACAGAATTCAATAGTATCAACATAAACTAAATAAAACTTACAAATAATAATAAAACGTTTAATATATATTATTGTAATTAACAACTCAAAACCTTAACTAGATTTTTATTTATTAATAAATTTAAAAATCGAAAAAAAATCATAAAATATCGAAATTTGGAAGGAAACAATTCCGGCGGTGAAGGGTCCAGACCCGGCCCATCGTCACGTCACCGTCTTCACTCCAAACTTGAACTCAACACTCGGACGGGAAACTTGCATTGAAGATCCCGCCAAAACTTCATCGATCTCAATTGGCGATGGAAGCGAATCAAGAGACGGTGGTGGGGATGAAGCAAGAGGACGACGAGTTGGATTCCAAGGAGAGCGTGCTCCAAAAGTACTTCCTCCAAGAATGGAACATCATCAAGTCACTCCTCGACGACATCGTTTCCAATGCTCGCGTCTCCGACCCTTCCTCTGTCCACAGAATCAGATCCATTGTACACTCCTTCGTTCAGAGACAATTATCTTCATCCATTTTTATCGATTTTTGTTATTGAGAAATAATTATCTGTATTTATTTTCAGTTGGACAAGTACCAGGAGCAAGGTCAACTTCTGGAGCCCTACCTCGAATCCATAGTTTCCCCTCTGATGAACATTATTCATTCAAGAACGATAGAACTCGGGATAGCTTCCGATGAAATTCTGGAAATAATTAAACCTATATGCATAATTGTATATTCGTTAGTCACGGTTTGTGGCTATAAATCTGTAATCAAGTTCTTTCCGCATCAAGTTTCCGATCTCGAACTCGCCGTGTCTCTGTTGGAGAAGTGTCACCACACGAATTCGGTGACATCGTTGAGGCAGGAAAGCACGGGTGAAATGGAAGCTAAATGCGTGACGCTGTTGTGGCTTTATATACTTGTGTTGGTTCCTTTTGACATTTCCACTGTTGACACCAGTATTGCCAATGAGGACAATTTAACTGAGTTTGAGCTCAGTCCTCTTGTGTTGAGAATTATAGGGTTTTGTAAGGATTATCTATCGACTGCTGGGCCTATGCGAACTATGGCTGGACTAGTCCTCTCGAGGCTACTTACTCGTCCTGATATGCCGAAAGCCTTTACAAGGTTTATTTCATTATGTTTTGTAGCTTGTTTAGTGTTAGTTAAGTTTTCTCCCTGGTTGCCTAACGTATTTGTGTTTCTCATGTTGTGGTGTTGTTTGTGTAAAGATGATTTTCGTTTCAATCGAACTTTATCGCAAATCATCAATTAATTCCTTGTTTTGTAGATTGTGTTTACAAATATGATGAATGGTTTTGTTTGATCTCTTCAAAATGTCTGAATTTGAGTTGGGTTTGTCCACGACAATGTGTTGTTATCACTTCAGACATGTTCGGGCTTGTATGCATGCTAGCGTTTGTTTTATAGAACCTTTTGTTTTACTACTGGTTATGTGTATAAACTGAATTTTCTAATTGCTTCAGCTTTGTTGAGTGGACACATACCGTCATGTCCTCTGTAACTGAAGATTTACTCCATCATTTTCAGTTACTTGGTGTCGTTGAAGCACTGGCAGCTATTTTCAAGGTTTGTTTTTTTTTTTTTTTTTTTTAGTCTTTTTTTCGTTTACCCTCAAATAAAGATTTTTCATCTATCATTTGTGTAAGGATTTCTACAAATTATTTGAGGTGGAGAATGGTGCATAATAGAGTAGGATACTTTATGTTATGTTGTGGTTAATTGTGTTGCTTTGTATTTAGGGATCTTATCTTGTTGGAAGCTTATCTTATTCTTACACATGTTATGTTCCCTTATTTAATAGGACTATTGAGTATTAGTATAAATAGGACTATTGAGTTAGTATTTGTATCCCATCTTCAGTACATGGGTCAATTCAATATTCTCTGATTTTGAGTATCTATACTTTTTTTTTCTTCTTCTTTACTTAGATTGCATAGTGTTTACGAAGCATTAGGGTCGTACCCATGGTGAGTTTACAAAATTGAGTCTATGTTATGAATCTGGTTTATCATAATCAAGTGCCCATCCACATTGCCTCTATCCTGGTCTTTCCATGGGTGTATTATAAATTATAATATAGAGATTTATTGTTCATCTGTGAAAAATTTCGTGTGAGAGAAATCAATATACTGTTTCTGAATTCTAATGATGAACCATTGTATATTCTTACCAAGCTTGAAGCTGTAGAATAATATACATATGTAAAAAGCTTGATAGATATAATATATATGAACCAACGTATGGTCAACTGTGCAGATGTCCGCATTTCATTGGACATTCTGATTTTATTGCCTGTATATATCAAAAATAGACGAGGAACTACTGGATATTTTTGCGTACATAGTTTTTCTATTCCCTAGAATATTGTGATTGAATAATGTGATATTGTAAATATAAATGCAAATAATTCACTAGTAAATTTTCAAGTTGGTATCCATACTCATGTTTTGTGGGCTGAGAAAAACCTTAGTTCTCCTGTCACTCAGCTGCAATCCTGGAAAGACAAAAGTCCAAGTCTGTCCAGAACAGTCCGATTAGAGGAGTTTGGCTGTTGCTGTGTTGTGCTTAATTACTTGCAAAGAACAGTCAGATTGGACACATGTCTCGCTTTGTATATAACTTTTTACTGAAGCTTTCATGTGCCCTTGTTACCTTCAATGCTTCTAACTCTTATAATATCAATCTCTGAGTAGGCTGGTAGTCGGAATCTCTTGCTTGATGCAATTCCTGTTGTTTGGAATGACACTTCAAAGTTGTACAAGTCTTCAGATGCAGCTCGAAGTCCTCTGCTCCGCAAGTATCTGATGAAGTTAACCCAGCGAATTGGGCTTACTGCTCTTCCTCATCGATTGCCCTCATGGCGATATATGGTTAGCTTTTCTTTGATCCAAGTTTTATAGGATCTCTCTTATTAAATGTTTGATGACACCTTTTTTTTGGTTCACTTTTATGTATCCATATTTATTTATTTTTACTTTTAACTGGTGGAAAATAAAGGCACAGTAATTAAGAAATTATGGTTATATGCATTATTCAGAAATGCATGCTATTCTGACAAAACAACAAATGCTTCTCATGCAAGTCAAGAATATAGAACTCGAAACAGAACTGGAGGGATGAAATTTGAGCCCTTATTGATAATGGAAATATGAAGAGTTGAACTCAATGGTCCCTTAGGCAAATTGGCTATTGTATCATGCTAGTTTTGTCCGTGTGAAAATTTAAGCTTCCATGCATGAAATAAATTTTATCATGTTACAGACCCAAGTCAACTTAGTTGTGCTAACTGCTAAGAGTTAAATTGAAACCTTTTAGAATTAAGTTGTTTTGCCCCATGATCTAAGCTAACTGTATCAGTGACATATATTTGTACTGTTTTCATCAGTGTTGGGTTACAAATATTTGGACCTTGCAGCTTCTTTTAGCTAGACATCAGAAGCAATTATAGAAGCTTTTGTCACCGTTTTTTTTTTTGGCCCTAATGACTATCTGCCTATTATGCAGGGAAGAGTTGCCAAACTAAATGTTTCTTTGAATACATCAAATAATATTGATCAGTCTAATTTGGGTGTGAACGAAAAAGATTCCAACTCAAATGAAATGTCAGACAGGGAGGAAGATGAGGATATGGATGTTCCAGAAAATGTTGAAGAGATTATTGAGATATTGTTATCTGGTTTGAGGGATATGGTATGTCTAAAGGGTGAGATTTTCTTTTAGTGAATTTTTTGTTTCACTTTTATGCTATGCTTAGTTTGGTGTTGAAAAATATGAAATTATGTCTAAATGTACGCCGATGTGATGCATCTGAAATGAAATGGCTGAATTAAGCTGTACTAACTTAACTGATGTTGTTTATTTGTCATTACTCATTGATCCTGAAATAGTTATTTAAAGAATAGCTAAAACCATGATTGTTGATGTCTTATATGAATTTGTATGAGATGTGTAATTATTCTAATATTTCACTTATTTTATGATTTAACTGGTCCTACAAATAGAACTGGATGAATACTGTTGGATATGAAAGATATCTTAACATTATTTGATATTAGTCAGTTGCCTGTGTTTGAGTGTCGACATCGGAGAAGACTATCAAATGACTAAAAATACTGCTCCTGGATTTGTGCTGAATTGTAGTGCTTTATATTACTGCTGGCCACTGTTTTTATAGTAGTTTCCATAGATCCTGAAACATGTATTGTGTGATTTGCATTGTATTCTATAGTATTAGTTGAAGGGTAAACAGCCTTGCTCGATCAAAATCATTCTAGTACTATTGCTCAACAGTTGCGTTCTATTAATAACAATTTACAATTAAAAATAGTTCTGAGCATCTTCTTCATCCATGTTGAAAACCTGATTGTCTTTCACATGAGATAGTACTAGAATTGGAGGCTGTAGCAACCACAATTGATATCTTGCTTAACAGCTTAAGCTTTTAGCTCATTTCATTTAAGGACTTCTGTTTGAAAATTGATTTTGACTACACTTAATTGGTCTACTTGTCATGCCTTTTTCCTTCATGTTGAAAAATATTAGCAAGTAAAGTGAAAATAGTGAATTGTCAAATATGACCGTTGAAATCTTGCATCGACTAAAGATATGATAATATTACAATATATAGGTAAGTTATAAACCTCATCTTACAAACTGGTTTTATAGGGTTAATTAGGTACCTTTATTTCTAAGATGGTATCAAAGTCAACTCTAATTATGTTGGACATTAGTTGTTAGTGGTTATTAGAGTGAATCACCGGTTATCATACCGGTATTGGACCATCCATCTTCGAAGTGAGGGGATGTGATAAAATCTCCCTTGTCGTGAGGGAGTGTGTTGAAATCTTATATCTACTAGAGGTACAATAACAAAATAATATATAAGTGAGGTACAAATCTCACCTTATAAACCGATTTTGTAGAGTAGGGTTGAGTTAAATACCTCTCTATTTCTAAAAATGGCGATAAATGAACATTCCATTACCTGATATGTGTATTTTAAACATCACAATAATTCACAAAGTGCTAATTAAGCTGATCATATTTTCTTCATTCTATTCTCTCTCCAATTGTTTTCATCATTTCAATGACCAAATTATGGTGGCATTCGATTGTAGGATACTGTTGTCCGCTGGTCTGCAGCGAAAGGTATTGGGCGTGTAAGTTCACATCTGACATCATCCCTGTCTCACGAGGTTTTATTGTCTGTTTTGGAGTTGTTTTCACTTGGTGAGGTGCGATACTAAACTTGTGTTTACTTATTTTCTTGAGAACTGGAATTTACTAGTTGAGTTCACATTCACTACATGTGTTAAATGTTTATTTGTCTGATACCACTATTCTCACATGTAACACTTGTTTCAGGGTGATGGTTCATGGCATGGGGGCTGCCTAGCTTTAGCTGAACTTGCTCGTAGAGGCTTGCTCTTACCTGCGAGTCTTCCGAAAGTTGTTCCTGTTATTGTGAAGGTGGTTTATAATGGACAGATTATATCCATAGATTTATGGAAGTAGATTTGTGAATTCAAACTATTTTGTCTGGTTATAACTATTTAGTCATCTGGACTTTGAAGTACTTTATTTATGTGATACCTAAACTTGAAACTAGAACAGAGAATCTAACCTTGTCATCCAGTAGTAACTTAGAGTTAGAGGATACATTATTATATTGACAGTTTAAAAAGTGGGTTTCTCATGTTTATCGCTGAGAAAATGAGGGAAGAGAGAAGATAGGAAAGGGGTTAATCTTGGAAATGAAAAAAAGGCAAATGTCCCCTTACTTAAATGTTCAGTTTTCTTATTTTATAATGCGTATGAAGCTTAAGACATCCTTTATTAATTAATGGGCATATATTTTGGGTATTTCTTCCCACTGTTCCAAACTTTTTAGTTGAGCCCTTATTTAAGAGATACATTTACTATATAGCAGTGGTAATAAGTATAAATTTGTTTATTAGGCTCTACATTATGATGTTCGAAGAGGTCCACACAGTGTTGGTTCTCATGTACGTGACGCTGCTGCATATGTATGTTGGGCATTTGGACGTGCATATTATCATACTGATATGAGGAATATCTTAAAAGAGTTCGCCCCACACCTCCTAACAGTGGCATGCTATGACCGTGAGGTCCTTTTATCTTTTTATGTCCTTCTCTTGACATACTTGTTTTAGAATATTCACTTCATGTGAAAAGAATGGCTAACTAAACTGTGATACATAGGTTAACTGCAGAAGAGCGGCAGCAGCTGCTTTCCAGGAGAATGTTGGAAGACAAGGGAATTATCCACATGGAATTGACATAGTGAACACTGCAGATTATTTTTCACTTTCTTCACGAGTAAATTCTTATCTTCATGTTGCAGTTTCCATTGCTCAGTATGAAGGATATCTTTTTCCGTTTGTGGATGACCTGGTGGATAGAAAAATCTGTCACTGGGTATGTTCTGATTAAATCTCTCTCTCTCTCTCTCTCTCTCTCTCTCCCCCTGAGCTGCCAATTCTTCTTCCCCTGTGTTGTCCCTAATTGCAATTGTGATATGGATTTCTAGTTTACTTTCTAATTGAAGGCCATATATCACTCTAGCCTGATTTCTGGACACTGAATAGAATAAATTTTTTTTGGGAAATAATTAATAGAAAAGGGATGACATATAGGTATTTTCTCAGTGTATGTATGTCTTTTGGTCAATATTTTATGACGTTTGATAAGGTTTCCTTCTATTCAGGTTTACATTACGATTTTTTTTTTCTTTCTTGTTTTATTGTTTCCTTAAACATACTAAAAAAAAATTCAAAGGATGCAAAGTAGTCATGCTTAATGCACATATTTCCTATTCCATAGATATGACTAAAGAGAGTTAAGAGGATGGTCTAGCTAGACTTTTAATTTCAAACATATTTAACTTCATATTTCTTAGTCTTGTTATTCCTCGTAACTGTATACTTATGGTCATAAATTTGTTCACTATTTTGTCATTTATGAATAATTTATTTGTTGCTTCCTGTTTATTAATTTTCTTGATTTATTTTGAGAGAAGTTATTTGGAAATTTCGTCTCCAGGATAAAAGCTTGCGAGAACTTGCTGCAGAGGCCCTTTCATTTCTTGTAAAATATGACCCTCAATATTTTGCAAGCAGTGTCTTGGAAAAGTTAATTCCTTTTACTCTTTCATCTGATTTATGCATGCGCCATGGTGCAACATTGGCAACAGGAGAACTTGTTTTAGCTTTACACCAATACAATTTTGCTCTTCCCTCAGGTTGATACTTTCTTGTGACTTTTGATTATGCTACTGCCCGTTAGTAGTTAAAGTGAAACAGTTTTCTTTTATCAAAGCCAAAAGAACCAAAATGTATATTTTTGTTATACACATTTGTATGTTTGGCTCATACCTTAAGTTTGTTTTTAGAAATTGAAGAAATGATTTTCAAATTCGATAAACACTTGGAGCCCCAGAGACTTAAATGTTCAGATAATGACTCAAATATCAGACACAGTTCCCCTTTCCTCTCTTTGTTGCAACTTTATATTCTCATTTGTAAATGTGCTGATTTTCCATCTGACTTTAAAGTGATTAGATTATATGACTACCAAGACACAATATATTGCACAAATCAGTTGAGTACTTTTTTTTTCTTGTTTATTTATGAGATTGAAGGAAAACATCAATTATTTCAAACAAAATACTTTCAGTTAGAAGCCTGCAAAATTAAATAGTTAGAACAATTTGAATTCATTCCTTAAAATTTTATGAAAATGGATAAAAGTCTTTGACTGAGGGATTATATACATGATGGGTTGTGGTTGAGGATAGATATATAGTAAGTTTTGGTTAAGTTTGTCTTGCCAACTATTGGTCATATGATTAAACCTTTCTTTATTGAAGCTGATTAGTTTCAAAAATACTTATGATGCCAGCTGAAGTGTCTCATTTTTGAAACTGTCACTGACAGATAAACAGAAAAGTCTTTCTGGTGTTGTTCCTGCCATTGAGAAAGCACGACTTTATCGTGGAAAGGGAGGAGAGATAATGCGTGCGGCTGTTTCTCGATTTATTGAGTGCATCTCCATATCTAAAGTGGTATTATCAGAAAAGATAAAGAGAAGCCTACTTGATACACTCAATGAGAATTTGAGACATCCTAATTCTCAGATACAGGTTCTATCCCTAGGATACAAAATCTGTGTTACCATTTTAACTTTCATTTAATATTATCAGCTTATGCCAGTCTGGCATTGTATATTGACGATTAATGTCATCATTTGATGTTCAGAATGCAGCTGTTAAAGGCCTGAAACAATTCATCTGTGCATACTTGCATGCTTCAGATAATAAAGGTACAAGTGATGTGACGGAAAAGTACCTCAGTATGTTAACTGATCCAAATGTAGCTGTAAGGAGAGGATCTGCATTGGCATTAGGGGTTTTGCCATATAAGTTATTAGCCAGTCAATGGAGAAATGTGCTTTTAAAGCTTTGTGGTTCATGCAGAATTGAGGTGCTTCATGTTGCAACTGCTATATATTATACTATCTTAGGTTCAATGATTGTGTTAAACAATGTTTTCCCACTTGCAGGAAATCCCTGAAGACAGAGATGCTGAAGCAAGAGTAAATGCTTTCAAAGGTCTCACATTAGTGTGTGAAACATTAATTAATGGAAGATACGATACTGTGACCTCTTTTGTTGAGGATGATTTTTCCCTGTTTGTTCTGATAAAGAATGAGGTGATGACGGGTTTATTTAAAGCTCTCGATGACTATTCTGTTGATAATAGAGGTGATGTAGGTTCTTGGGTTCGTGAGGCTGCAATAGATGGCCTGGAAAAATGTACATACATGCTTTGTAAGATAGACAAGTCAGTTTGTTTGCCTGAAAGATCAGATGGAAATAAAATTGAACCTACTGCACAGCCTTCGACTGATAGCATGAAGAGCAACCAAGAGGTTTCTCTATTTGATGAAAATCTTGCTACCAATTTAGTTGGAGGGATTTGTAAGCAAGCTGTGGAGAAGATGGATAAACTTAGAGAAGCAGCTGCAAATGTTCTCCACAGAATTTTGTACAACCAGATGATATATATTCCATATATACCTTTCCGAGAAAAGTTAGAAGAAATCATTCCCAAAGAGGCAGATGCACAATGGGCTGTAAGTTTAAGTAGATCTTGCATCAGTTCAAGGTTGATTGCATATAGTTTTTCTGTTGAAAGACTACTGTTTTGTTGCAGGTTCCTTCCTATTCTTACCCACGCTTCATACAATTACTTCAATTTGGTTGTTATAGCAGAGATGTACTATCAGGTTTGGTTATATCTATTGGTGGGTTGCAAGATTCTTTGAAGAGGGTATCACTCTTGGCACTGTTAGAGTATCTAGAAGGGGTTGAATCTGAGGATCCAAATACAAGAACATCTAGGGTATACATGCTATCTGTTGACATCCTGTGGGTTCTCCAACAATACAAGAAATGTGACAGGGTTATTGTACCCACTTTAAAGGTACTAAATTTCTAAAACAATGCTTCATTATTCTTGCTTTGTGAAATTGAAGTTTCAAAACAATTTGATTCTATTTGTACCATTTTTTTCTCTTTCTTGGGGAAAACCAAAATTCTGTATGTGAACAAAGTGCTGGCTTGAAGCTCAAAATCAACAGCCCATTATGTGACTAAGTTGCAACCACAAGCATAATAGCATTGCAAGACTAGCAGTCATGTGCTGACATCTTGAAGATGGATTCTTAAGTATCAGTTATGTCTGATAGTTAAGTATCAATTCCATGTAGAAATACATAAAAGAGGGTGAAGGGACTGTTTCTGTATCTTCATTTTAGTTTGGTTTTAAGTGCATATTTATTTATTGTAACAAGTTAGGTGTAGTACTTGTTGCCTGAGTTTACAGAGAAGAGGTGACAGAATCTCATTGCTTTTAGAATCCTGTCACAACAAAGATTATATAACTTCATGTAGCTTGCTCTACAAGGAACAGAAACAGTTACAGCCAACTGTCACATGCCAACTGGCTGAACTTAACTAACTGTTTGCCCTACAAGAAAAAGAAACAGTTACAGCCTGTTGTCACATGCCGGGTGGCTGGACAGAAGTTGTTTGGACTGAGTGAAAGTAAAAATCTGTAGGTGGAATGGGTCTGCGGGGAATTTTTTTGGAAAACAATTGGGTGAAAGTTTTAACAGGTTGTTAGTTGGTTTTGTTATTTTTTTCTATAATTTGGTCTACTGTAATTCTTATAAATAGGTCAGTTTCTGCGTATTTTCTGGTCATATTCCAGTTTAAAAAGGATAAAGCTCCTTGGGGGAATATTCATATTCCTCGGTTCTAGGGTGATTTTTTACTTTCTTTCAGCAATAACGAAGCATATCAATGTTACTTTCCTTATCTGGGTGTTAATTTTTCGTAGTGGGGACTGTTATCACTACTTCAGGGAAGAAAAAAGACCTTAAAAAGTAACTGAAAGCTAAGTACAATATTCACACTAGTGAATTACAATGTTGACTGTACCACTATAACGCCTCAAAACCAAGAGACTTTCAGACTGCACACATGACTTCCTGACAGAACAGTTGTTGTACCCTAAGATATAACATATAGATTACCCGTAAAGACCCAACAATTCACTATATTCACTTTGCTACTAGGTAAGATTGATCCATGGGTTGTAGTTGAATTATCTTCATTCTTTGAAATTAGAATTCCTAGCCATTTATATGTTTCCAGTATAGATAAATCCTGGTTAGCACCCTGCTTAAACTGAATTCTAAAATTATTTCACAAAAAAGTCTAGCATAATTTCCTTTTGTTTCATATATAATACTCATTGTTTGCCTCCTCTGTTGTCAAATGTAATCTATTCATAAAACTCAATTTGCACTGTTTATCTATGAATCTCTAATATATTGATGAACATATTCTGCCCTCCAGACCATTGAGATTCTGTTCAGCAAAAAGATATTCTTTAATATGGAGGTTAGTTTGCCTTTCTATTCTTTATATTTCCTTTTCTTGTTAGTTATATATATTGTCCATTTCTGGATTGGTTGTGATAAAGCAATCCTTTATATTGATTTTGTTGGCTAGAGATGTGTGGTTTATCCTTTATACACTTGGTGGAAACAATGAAAAAAAAAAGGAAAAAGAAAGAAAAAATAACCATGGCTAATATGAGAAGGGAACATTCTGCAAAGTCTCTAAGATGCATTAAATGTTAAACATGCATACATCTTGAACCCCAAAATAGCAACTCCATTTGTTCATTTAACCTCTCCCAAATACTTTTCTTGTATAACATGTAGACTTGTTGGTTGTTTATGAACTAAAACCAATATGGTTTGCATGATGTTGAAATGTCAGAACAAAGTGCCTCCTAGAAAAAAATACACAATCAGCCACGACATATTAAGGTTATCTGTGCATCCTCCATAGTTGTTTGAAATATGATGTAGCAATCATATGATTGTGATGATTATACTTTCGTATATAGTTGTGACAGCTTTACAAAAGTTTATCTTCTTTTTTCTTTATCGTGGCAGGAAAATATCTAAAATATTAGTAACTTGGACAGTGATTGAATGATTTAGTTTTTTAAGGTAGAGGAGTTATGGGCGTTGTTGAAAGGGAGAAAATAGATGGAAGGGATGCTGAAAACTGTATCTGGACTGCACAACAAAGTCCACTTTATATAAACTGAAGACAAATACATGATATGATATGCCCATAAATTATATTTGAATAAGTCTGATTCTAATAAGATATCCCTGTAATTATAAAGATTCTAATTAAATAACGAAATAATCAAAATATAAATGAAGAATAAAAGAGAGAATTTAAGATACTCTGAAACATTCTAAGATAATAGGTAGCAGTGATTAAACAACCGAGAGAATCAAGCAGTAAAATGATTTAATAACATGAAATCATGTGAGCTGAAATTGGATTAAATAAATCTTGGGACCTAATTTAACTTTAGTAACTAAAGTCTAGATACAGAAGAGTAATACGACCTAGAAGAATAACAATAGTACATATTTTTAATTTATGAAAATGAGATATGGGGTGTTTTTTGTTCTGTACTTTTGTTGATTTTTATTTTACAAATGCTCGCTGAGAACATGTTGATAAATAAATTGTATTTTTCAGGCTCACACTCCAACTTTCTGTGTTGCTGTTTTGGATTGTCTGTCAATTGAATTGAAGGGATCAAAAGACTTCTCAAAGTTGTATGCTGGTATTGGAATACTTGGTTATATAGCGTCAGCTCAGGAACCTATCAATATGAAGGCCTTTTCTCAACTTCTTGATTTTCTTGGTCATCGTTACCCTAAGGTGATTTATGCATATTCATTAGTATGAGATTCATGACTTGGCATCTTGTTCTTCGTTTAACTGCAATTCCATGCAAAGTAGATGGACTCTTTTTTCACATGTATAAAGTTATGATAATTTCTATTAATTTTAAAAATAAAGTGTTTTAGTGTTTCTCTTGAAAGATGAAAGAGTGGTCAATTTCTTTAAGCTCAGACAAATAGGTCATATTACTTTTGTTGCTTGCTTTGTGGCTTCTCATATTTTACTTTATTTCTTTGTGTATGTTAATCAGATTAGAAAAGCTTCAGCTGAACAGCTATACCTCGTTCTCTTGGAAAATGGGAATCTTGTGGCTGAAGACAAGATTAATAAAGCACTTGAAATTATTTCTGAGTCTTGCTGGGATGGTGATGTGGATTTAGCTAAATACCAAAGATTAAAATTGTACGAGATTGTTGGTCTGGAGGTGCGGCCTCTTAATAATACCGATGGAACCTCAAGGAAAACCAGCACTAAGAAGATTACAAACTTGGATGAAAATGCATCATATTCCTCACTTGTTGAGTCATCTGGGTTCTAATTCTTGTTGATCCTATATCAGATTTTCTGTTGTATAATGTAACTTGCTTTATTTGGTATGAAATTGTCATGTGCACTGGTCAATTTTCAATCATACTCGTGTCCTCAATGGGTGTTACGCATTTACTAAAATTAAGCCATGGAGCTAAGAAGAAAGAAATGAAAGGTTAAGATTGGGCTTGTGAGTTGTTTTTGTGTCTGTCTATCTTTTGTTCTACTAATGGTAGATCCTGTACAATTCAGATTTTCGGAGTTAACGTGCCTTATTGATCATTCTGTTTTGTGATAATTACTCATTAGTTTGCAAATGTGAGGTAGACGAAGGTGAATGGTGTGGAAGTCCTACTACGTCTTGGGTGATGGACTTCAATGGTGATGTCTTCGTGAGTGATGGTGCAGTTGGATGTGATGATTAAAATACTAATGAAGCAGTGTATGCGAATGTCAGGGATTGACAATATTTGGTTTGTTATGGTATGAACTGAACAAATTTTATAATTATTTGACGTATTTATTGTTTCCTTTCAAAAATTGTATTTCCTTCGTTTCCTATTGATTTGAAACTAGATTCCTTTTACGTTGATAAAATCGTGATCCGTGTGGAAGAGGCATTGAGACAGTGAACAATGTAGCTTGTCCCTTATGATGTGCGTTCGAGTGTGTAAGCAAGCCAGGAACATTCCTTCAATTATAATTACTTGTGGATTCTGTGTAAAGGACATAGCACTTCAATGCAAGCATCCAATACGCAAAGTAGCATAAATGCATAATTGAAATCAGTCTTTTCATTCAAACTTCCATGAGTTTGGCAGAGCCAGACGAAGATTCCCCCTCTTCAGTCCTTTCAAAGAGTTTGTCTATTCTCTTCCCCACTTTCTATGCAGTTGGAATGCTGTTTAATTTTAGGATTTTAATTTAGGACTCAACATGTTTTCTTTTTTTTTTAGATGATAACTTGTTTAACTAATACCTTGTTTATCTATTTATTTATTTCTATCTGTTCAAACATATGGTAAAATTGCATAAATGTTATAGTAAAAGAATTACAAGACTAATTAAATTAGAAAATATATTCATATTATTTAAAGGTTTCCGTGTGGGACATACGAGTCTTCATAATATCATTTATTTACAAAAAATATTCTTCTACATGAACTCTGTTGAATGTAATAACTTAAAAGTTGAATTTGAGAAAAAAATATTGAAGTTTTAGAAAACTTGAATTTGTTTGGCTTTTTTTTCATTTTTAAATATTTTAATAAGTAAATTTTAAATTTTTATATATTAATTTGGATAAAATAATTTAATTTCTACTATATATAAAGTTGTGTAATAAAAATTAATTTTAACATTAAATTTTATGAAAATAATATTGTATAATTATAAATATAATAATTAAAAATTAATATAAAATCTTATTTAACAATTTTAGAAGATATTAGTACTTTTACAATAAATATGTACATAGAAAAGGTGTAAATATAGGCTGAAGAATTAGGAGCGAGCATGAAGGAGAATAATATAAAAGATACAAAATGAAACAAAAAGAAGGGATAAGAGAGATGGAGAGAAACTGCAGAAAGTGGATCAAAGAGGACAAGTAGTGTAAAGAAAAAACAACCTATTTCAAATGTAAATATTTCAAAATTCAAAATAAACTCTTAAAATGTAAGTTTAATTTAAATTTTACATCTAAATAACCTATTTCATTCTAAAATATTTTAAATTCTAAAAATAAAAATTAAAGTTCCTTATGCAAATATAACGTGGAAGTTATAATGTTGTTTATAAATAACAATGTATCTCTTACGTAATTATAAATATAATTATAAATTCAAAAAATGTATAAATATCTTATCCTACCCAACGTCAAATTTCTAACAGAAAAATAGTTTCATTAATATTTCTTTTACAGTTAACGAAAATGAATTAAAATATAAACAAACTTTTGAAATAATTAGTTCGAAAAAACGAGTAATTGATAAAAAGTTACTTGAATGGTAATTTGCGAATTGTTTGTCGTAACTAGTGCTTGAATAAATTCAACTATTGATTAAATAATAAATAAAAGGGAATTTTAATTGAATAAATAATTATGGGGGAATTTGTTTCAAATTGATGCGCATTTTTATAGTGAATGCATTATAAAGGAAGTCGCAAATTTCACCAAGGGAAATATATATAAAGATAATTTCTTTCTTAAAAACAAAAATCCAATTCGTTACAAACATTAAGAAATATGTAAAGATAAGATCCAATTGGCATTCTCTTAAACTACAAACACCTGCGAAATTTCTGAGAAATTTCGCCAAGTGGCATATTCTTACAAACCCTAGCAATTTGTCTTAAAAGAAAATGCAAAGTGAATCTTCAACTAGACATATATTAAGGTGAAAGAAAGAAAAAAAAAAAAAAACTAGTTAATTGTATTGCAATAAAGCTCAATATGAATGTTGACACTTCATTTGGAAAGATTCTTACTCATATGGTACAATGAAGTAATATTGTACACAACTATACTAATTCAATGAATAAAAGTTTAACCTTATTTAGTTATCTCAAAAGTAAATATTTTAAAGAATCTAATTAATGTAAGCATTTCCTCACCAATTCACTTCGATGGCATGTTTAAACGAAGTTATTCATGGTAACTTGCAGGGTTAAACTCCACACTTGAGAAGCTTAATTCTTCAAAAAGAGTAATTATTGTATGATTATATCATACAATTTGTTAAAAATGTAAATCATTGATTTAACTGCACAACATATGTGATATTATTATAATAACCATATATTAAGATAAACTAAATTTAGTCTCATAATAAATTTACTTAACAGTGTCGTAAAAAAATTGTTAAATGTGTAATCTTTTTTAATTTTATGAATTGATGGATCAATCCGAAAGTTTTAATAAAATTATTTTTTTCTACTGCTCATGTCATTGCCTTAAATAAACTCCAATGTAAATATATCTTCACTGTAAATCAATTACAGATCTTTGATACAGCAATTAATTTTGAGAAATTAATTATATAGTAATTTATAATGAGATAAGAATTTTAAAAACATTTAACCTTTGCAGAATATTTTAAATAAATTCATTGTAGAACATAATAATATAATAAAATCTTATTCTCAATGAATCTCACTCCACCAAACATGGACCTCTAATTTTACTATTTGGATCATAAATCCACTTTAGAAAAAAAAAAAAAAAAAAAAAAACGGCCAAGACATTGCACTTACGTTTTGTCTATACTTGGAGAATGGTACAATTCTATGATATCATGTACAGAATGGGGTGTTTAACCTGAAATTTCCTTAATGGAAAAGCACCTTAACAACACAAGTTGTGTTGTTCCAGCCTCTACTTTCTTGGCGTAAAATATCAAACCCTTTGCCTTATGAGACACGCACCAATCACACCAACCTTTTCCCTTGTCGAAGGAGGTTCCAGGCCGTGTCACTTGGCTTCACATACTCACACTGCTTTCATACTCATCATCATAACTAACTTCATCCAAAATAACACCTCTATAAAAGAACCTCTCATTGGGTGTGCCCTTTGGAACATAAAACAGTTGTGTGTTAGTGTTTCTTTACTCTTTACTATTAGGTTCTGAGTTCCAAGAACAATATACTCAGTTAATACTAAATTTCCCTTTTTTCTTTAGTTGATTACTGTGTTGGAATTTTCTTCTCGTCTTCTTTTGGTGTTGAATAGAGTTAACTAGTTTCCACCAAAGCTTTCACCTTTCTTTCTTGTGTTGGCCTAGCAGGCACTATGTTAGAGGGGCATCAACTTTTGGGGTTCGGCTTCTTTGTAGTTGGTTTATGGCACTTCTTCAACCACGTGAAGCTCCATGCTCTTAGCTCCAAGTCCTACACATCATCAACACTATGGTTTCCCACCACAATATCCAGATACTTGGAGCTCCACTTCGTCATGGCAAGCTGCACAATCTTCATTGCCATGGAGCTCTTCATTGCTCCCATTCATCACCAACCATTTGACCCTGATGGAACCATTCCCTCCAGCCATCTCCACAACTTTGAACACTCCTCCATGGCCATGGCTTTCTTGGTCTATGCCGTCTTTGCCATAGTTCTTGATAGAAAATGCAGTAAAGCTCAACATGAGCTAACTCATTTGCTAGCAGCCATCGCTTTTACACAACAATTTCTTCTTATCCACCTTCACTCTAGAGATCACATGGGACCAGAAGGCCAATACCACCTCTTGTTGCAACTTTTGATCCTTATTTCTTTGACTACGACCCTCATGGGAATTGCAAGGCCTAAGAGCTTCGTGATCTGCTTTGTACGTTCTGTGAGCATAATCTTCCAAGGTGTGTGGCTTATGATCATGGGATTCTTGCTTTGGACACCAGGATTTCAAGCCAAAGGTTGCTTCATGCACCTTGAAGAATCTGATGAATATGTGGTGAAATGCAGTGACGACGAGTCTCTTCATCGTGCTATCTCATTGGTGAATATTCAATTCAGCTTCTTGTTGATTGGAGTCACCGTTTTCGCAATGTCTTTCTACTTGGTCATGGTTAGAAGATATAGTGAAAAAGCGGAGTACGTTTCACTGATGAAGGAGGAACATTATCGTGAAGATGGATTTGTGAAATCTAACGGCTCTATCGACGGCGTTGAAAACAACATGGACATTGAATCCCAATCCCAAAAGAAAAACATGAAAGAGCAGATTTAAATTAAGCACTTTGTGAAACCAAAGGCACCGTGGGTGTAAGCGGTCCATTTTCAACATGATTATTGTAAAAATTAATAAATTTATTGTTATAATTTATTTGTGTGCAGGATTTTAGTAAACTTAAACATGATTGGTTTCGTTGAAACTTGTGATTACCTGATAGGATAAAATATTAAACTCTAGAACAAATATATTGCTTAAATTAAACTGTGACAAATTATTGGCGACATTGCGGTTATTCCGAGCATACTTAACGTTAGATAGGGGAACAATAACACAACATGATAGGACACGAGTCCTAGGTCAAACAAACAAGATACGACCTCTGTCAAGAGGAGACCATCTCGCAGCCCAGCGACCTGCGTCTGGTCACATTCCACTTATTGGTCTTGTTCTAGGTTCACAGGATTTTGTTAAGTTTGTCTCTTTTATCATTTGCAATGACCTTTTCAGTAAATGATGCTGAGCAAAGGTTGATTGCAAGACGGTGTTTAACGATGACTTTGATGTATTTATTTTTTACATAGAAAAGTATTTCTCTTTTTGTAAACTGTATCCAACGAGATCCTAAAAATCCTCCCATTCTTCTTCCTTTTTATGAAAACTATATTACAACTACTGCTATGTTTGTTTATTACAACAAAAATTAAATTATGAGGATCATAGAAACCATCCAGCAAATGAGGCAAAATTCATGTTCCGATTTTTTAGCTATCATATCTGGTTTAACGGATGACCAATAAGTTCCAGGTGTCCATAAATCCCATACCATAGGCAACACAACATGTATTCGTTCCATAATTAGCTACAGGTATTCATTCATTGGTTCCATAAGCAATAGCAACATGTACCCATTCTATAACGTGGTAGCAGTAAAGCTACCACGTGATCTAGATCTCATAGCTGATTTGGTAGAAGAGCAGTTACAGTGGCTTGTTTTACAGGTAAAGGTGGTTCCTTCAGTAACTATCAATATCTGTCTCTGGCGTCCGCAGGTAGTAACGAAGACAATTCACCAAAACCTGATCATTAAAATCACAAAAAAACAGTTTGTTGTGCAATTAAATTCGGCGACTTATATATAGAATCAAGATTTTAATTTGTGTTTTCATTACTGTCCATTGCTTTGAACAGTGGTTACCTGGGACATCGAACTGTTCAATGCAGCCCCACCGTAACTGACATGAAATTTATCCTTAGCAACCAAACCCTGAGAGAAAAGGGGGGTAAAGTTACTTAAGGGAAAATGGGGCAAACAGAAGGAGACAAAGACAAAGGGGAAGATACTTCTGTATCAATCTCAGCCGATTCAACATCAATGTTCACATCTGCAATGACTTTGATGATTTCAACAAGCAATCCCGGCTTATCTGCTGTCTCTATATACAGCAAGCTGATAAATATTTAATTAAAAAGAATTAAATGACCTCATGCACCTATTTCATATTGGGTTGTTTATTATGCTAATTATTTGGCGTCCAAATAATGCAAGTAATAAAAGAGCTCAAAAACTACAATATCCCCTCGTTATAGGACACAAACCTCCTCTTGGGTCCATCTTCCTTAACTTGTATATGAGTTTTGATATCCTCATTGCACTGCACAAAACAGCAAAAATAAAGTTGAAATTAGCAAGACTGATACCATGCATCGGACCCATAAAATCATTTCATTGAATTGAGTACTTGCCACGGCAGAATCTCGTAAAACCAAACTTTTTAAGGATTTTGTGAATGTGTAGCTTGGACACATTAGGGAATGAGAATAGAAACTAATAAAAAATTACAAGTATTTAATATTTAATAAAGACATGAATAATAAAAGTTATTTTAATACCATCAAATGCTAACAAATTTATATATATTAAAAGAACCAAGCATCTATTAGTATAAGTCCAATCTATATGCAGCAGCATGATAATATGCACCGAAAACACGAATAGTGTGGTATATTGAAATTCCAGCAAATCAATTTAGCAGCCCCAACTTAGTTCAGCGAGTATAGTTAAACTGAAAATTATATAAAGAAAGCCATTGTGGCTATGGAATCTGAGAAGTGAAGAATGAATCTTTACCATTTAGTATTTATAATCTCAAGAAGTCTAAAAAAGGCCATCGGGTAATCTCTTTGATACGATTGCAGTTGAAAAACCTAAATGGTTTGCCATTGCAGGCACTATCACTTTTTCCAGAAGAAAGAGATACACAAACACATGAATAATAGTTTTTTATCTCTAGCATGTCAAAATCAGGACGTAGCTCCCAAAAGTTTCAATTAACAATAAAAAATCACCAAATAATAAATAAGAAAATTTGAAAAAAGCATTGTCGACTACCTGAAAATAAAACGACAATAATCTTCTATATATTTTGTAGAAATGTTAACTCAAGATTAGCAAAGCCATCTACTGGGAAATTAAATGCCAACAAAGATGCATGAATAAACAGATATGATGCAGTTTTGTTTGAGGACTTGACGTCCACTCAGCCACACAACTTTGGACTGTCAAATAACTTAGCAAATGGTTAATAAAATTTGCATGCCTCCTCTAAAAAAGAAAAAAATAAATAATTATAAAAAAAGCAGGGATCTTCCTCAAATAATTAATGCTTATTTTATTCAAGAAACAAAAAAAAAAGTAAACAAAAACTGGAAGAGTATAATTCACCTTTTTCTTAGGAGCCTTTATGCCAAACACTTCACCCATGGCTAGTAGTTCACTTGACTCCTACAAAAATTATATAATATTTGTGAATAAGGAAAAACTGAAAATTAAGAGAAATCTAAAAGGTATACGGGGAAATAGTAACTAGGAAGGAAGAGTTGGGTTTATAACAAATTGTTAATTACGACAAAACTTTTTGTATGTAAAAGCCATATAAAAATCCAGAGGTAAGAATTTATCAAACAAACTTACAGGATGATATTTTAACAGATTGTTAATAATGGTAAGTCGAATTCTCTCTAACATATCAGGATCTTCAACTTTGCGCCCAGTATCTCTGAGAATATGAACATCAAATAAGTTTGTAAAGACTAAAGCTCCAATTAAGCATTGAAAACAAAATAGACTATCAATTGTCAGTGAGATTGTTATTTCTCATACGTTAAGGATACCTCATTCAAGTATATTAATAATAACGGAAATACTTTTAAAATACGAAAATAAGAATAATTTACTATCTTCTTCTTATTATTCAATATTTACAAGATTAATCTCAGTAACATATGACTATAATTTGACAGTTAGGTCCATAAAAAATCACACTTTTTACAAAGTTATTGATGGTGAGAGAATATGTGCAATTTACATCACAAGAATTAAGAGAACAAATTCTCTTATCTGAATTCTGAGAAAGATTAACTGAATTTAGCAACAGCAAATTCAGAGAATTCCCTAACATGCTCGTATATAAAAAAGTTGAACCGACACACAATTATGGAAGCTATCCAACAGCACCCAAGGAAAAGAAAGCACCTTCCCAACTATCTAACCTCCAAGAAATCTTTCCAATGACAGGACCTGAGGAAAGTTCTTCTCAAGTACAAGTATGGATAAGAACATAGGGCGATCCATTGTGAGTTACAGTAGGATCCTCCTGAGTCCAGACACGTCTCCATAAAAAGAATATGACAATGATTTACCGATAACAGAAATTTCAGTTTAAGATGAAAAAAACTGAATAATTTTTTAATTTATCAAAGTAAAAGGGATAATTATCAGTTTAAGAATAGCAAATTCACCCATGTTGTCCATTTACTGCTGAAAATGTCATTCAAGAGAAAAAAAACTGTAAAGAAACTGGAAGAAAAAGACAAGGAATACTTACGATTGTGTAATGAAAAATTTTGTTTGCTTGACTAATCCCTCTGTGGAGACAGTTCCCTTCGAAACATCCAGTCCCAGATCTTTTAATGCTTTCATCTGCCTTGATATGAACAAACAAAGATCAACCACTGACAATACATATAAAATTATGTCAACAGAGAAAATGAGCTCAAAACTCTGACAAAATTCTATATAAATGATGCCCTTTTGTAACATATAAAGAACAGAGATCTGAGGCCTTGAAATATTCTCTTTTCCAGCATATCTCAAACAAATTGTTGATTCTAAGCCTCCCAATATTCACGATGATTCCAATTTCTTTTTTTTCTTTACAAAGTAAACTATAATGGATTACAAGACCTCTGTAGTTTGCGGGTGAAGTTTATAACCAAAAAACAAACTTGAAATGAACCAATAAGGCTTGTTCACTAAGGGAGCCATGACATAGGTATGACATGAAAATGTGTAATGAGGAAAAATATACATAAAAGAAGCAAACCTTTGGACCTTCATAAATATTAAAAAAACTTATTTAGCAATCAAATAGTGACAGCATCACTTACAAAAAATCACAGTTAAAGGATAACTCATCATAGCGATTCAAATTGAAAATTTTAAATTGCATAAGTTAGTTTCCAATAGCCTAATCACCGTGTCGAGAAGAGCTCCAAGGCGATCCCCAAAACTAAGCTGCACAATTGTTGCTTCAGAATCTGAGTCTTGATCTATTAGAACCATTGGCATAGGAACAGTATCAGGATTGTCACCGGATTTCTGCACAGTAAGAATTAACCAATCAAAAATATTTTTACATAGAAGAGGATCAGGGCATATGTAATGAATAATTAATAAAAGCTTAGATTTATTGACAAATACATTTATCAGTGAAAGCAGCACTATTATTAGACCAGAACATACATGCCCGACAACAGGTGAGTATAATACAAGATTGACTTGTAAAATACACAGAACTTTCGAATGTAACGTATAAGCTGTACTGTAGTGCACCAGGACATCTAGTCCAGTAAATATTAATATAACCAACATTTCAGAAAATTTTCCCCAAAAAAAAAAAAACTGCTGCAGACCTGCATATCATATTCTCAATAACATAAAAAGTTTGAGACAAACACGATCATCACAAGATACAGGTCAACTGATTGAAGGATTGATAACAGAAAGACCACAAGAAAGATAGATTCTTGTGCAGCAGCCCTTCAAACCAAGTTAAATTTTATGTTCATTCTTTTTGGCCATTATGATAGGTGATATGCATCCCCTAAATGCAGATCCACAAGTTCACCGGTCAAAACCATCTAAAAAGAGCTATATTTTTTTTTATTTTATTCTATCTTTTTTAAAAGTATCATACTCAACTTTCAAAATGTTCAACAAAGGAAAATATTCGAAGGCGCAAGGGGGAGGAAGGAAAGGAAATTGTGGGACTTTAGCCATGGTTCCTCAACATATATTTGGCAGCTCCATTTGGCTGCTAGTAAAGAAAAATATTTCATAGAAAATGGAAAGAGGCAAAAAATATGTCAAGAAAATATGTACTACAAAGTTATGAACAAAAAACCCTATTTAGTCCTCCTCTTCTATTTTATTTTGTGCAATTCCCTCCCTCATCAATCGAAACTATACAATTTATGGATAATTACAAAGATTCTAAATGCCACATAATAAATTAATGTTTACCAGTCCTATTTTTCAACTGCCAAAAAAATGGTAAACGTTAAGATATGGTGGCAAGAAACACATCACTGACCAGTGAAGCAGAACCAGCTGCATTCACATCATAAGCAGAAGCATATAGAACGTTCCTGAAAAACATTCCAACCAGTAGTAAGAGACAAATGATATAGATACATCCTGGTGATTCCATTAAATAGTATTACAGTTCCATTAAGATTCATAAACGAGAATGCAAATCCTATATATAACAGTGGCTGAACCAACCTTCATTAACTTAACAAACCTGCACCATCAAACATATTGTGGTCTTACAACCCTCTATATGATCAAGAACCTATAGACTAAAGGCCCAAAAATAAACAAAAGGAATACGATACAAGATTCCAAGGTACTGAGGGACGCACAATAAGCAAATTTTATTGATAATGAGGAATAGGGATGCTAAATGGGTGTTTCAAGCTTAAGGGTTTTCAAAGCAGGACTGAAATGGGCATTCCTAACTAAACATTGGTACTAAAGGAGAAGTCCTTAAATATGAGAAAGATTCCTGTATGGATTGATTGCTACATAGTTTTAAGGTTTACAGGTATCATACCACTGAATTAGAAGAGGCATATGTGACAACTATATATGCTTCATACATGCACAACTGTATTGGCTTGGGGTACCAAGGCCCCTGCCTCCCCCTCCATCCCAGGTAAGAAAAGAACTAATAGCTTTGACTTACTCAAATAATACCATCAGTTTTTGAGTATATACAAATGAAATGAATAAGGGATAGAATAGCATCAATCACAACAATGTATTGAGTTGACTGCTTTGGAGCTACCTAACCTTTAGCATTTATCATGAATGGCAGAGCACGAATTGAAAGCTGCGTTTAAATTTGAAAAGGGGCATTGACAAACTGGGTGAAATAAGTCCACAAGCAAATTCTTCCAAACATCAGGAAAAAAAACTATCAACGGTCAGACGGAAAGATAAAAGAAATTGAAGCATGAATGACAAAGTCATCCAACTTTGACTCTTAGTTAGACACTTGAAATAAACCTGTACATTTGCTCACTCGAAACACTCTTACTAAATTTACACACAACAAGTGTAGGTTCAACGAAAATATCCGGACACAGGCACTTTAGTCACTGAACCCAAGAACAATATAAGCTCACAACTAATGGTTCCACTAGAATCCGTTTCCGGTTTGTTCCTCTGATCATTGACTTCCATGAAATTTTATGAAATTCCAATAAAAATACAATAAATCTGCTATCAATATTCGATTTCTAGTTTTTACTCATTTGTTTCAAGATAATCAGTATCACACTTATGATTTCACTCCATCCCTAGAGAACATCACATTCTCATTCAACCACTTCCGTCTTCATCTATCCACACGAGACTCGAATCGCAGAGAAGTAAGACACAGCATGGTAATAATTGACATCAATAAACACTCCGATTTCAAAAACTACGAAAGACTAAAACGGGAAAAATAAAGTGCGGAGAAGAGGAATTCTCACTTGTTCCTGAAGACGGAGGTTGGGGAGCGGAAGACGACGTCGGATGGAGGAGATGGGAGAGGAATGGAGCGCGAATCGGAAACCCTACCACCGTGTAGGGCGAATGAAGGAGTGAGGAAAGCATTGGTGAAAACCATGGTGATGTGATGATTGACGAGAGTGGAAGTTGAGTTGGTGAGACGTGTGTGCTTGCGTGCCTGTGTATATTATTGTTACGTTATTATATACTAATGTGATGAAAGTTGCTAACTCGGTGCTTTGTTTACTTGATTGCTTGGATTTGTCTGTTTGATTGTTCAGTGCTGACGATCGTTTCGAGAGCGACGTTGGATCCAATTTGATCATGCATTATATATATATTTCCTCGTCAACGTCAGCAATGGCTTTTTTAATTTTTTTTACAATATTTTTTACTTGTTTTTTAATATATTTTGTGGTAAATAATTATATTAATTCGACCACTAACAACATTTTTTCTAATTACAATTAAATTGAATAAATAATCAAATTATTTTTCAGACTACGTTATAATCTATCACCGTCGCTTATGTGTACGTATTTTCTTGTAATCATACAAAATTAATTACTAAACAATTACTAGAAAAATAGAAATTGTGTGCACAACAAATACTGTTAGAAAACCAATATGTTTTATTAATAGTTATAGGTAATGCATTTGAATAGAACGTTTGATTAATTAGTCACATAATATTACATTTTTTATTAAATTAAAATAAATTTTAGATCTTTAAAGTAAATTTAAAAGAGATTTTTAAAAATAAAATTAAATATTTTATTATGAATTCTACAGTTGACTGATTTAAAATTTAGTTAAAGTTATTTATTTAAAACCTTTTTTTAATTTTAAGTAATTTTATCCATTTTTAAACAACTTAATTATAGTATTTATAATAAAATATTTACATTTATTCTTAAAAAACTCTTTTAAGGATATACTTAATATATAATTAATTTTTAAGTTGAATATTTAATATTTTTTTACTTGTTACTTAACAAAAACATATTGCTTAAGTCCTTGAATTAAATATTTATTTTGATTTAAATCTCATACGTATGTTTTTGCTTTTAGTTTTTAAATTATTTTATCATAATAATCAATATATTTTGCATCATGATGTATATTATCAATATAAGTATTTTGTCTATTTTAAAATGTTATGTCTTTCTCATAAGTTAAGGTTTAAGTAAATACATTCGAGATAATTATCAAGATTCAACATGTAAGTGAAAGATGCATCATTAGATTTATGACTTGAGTTGATGTATATATCTTGATTATAGTTCGTAGTTTTAATTGTCTTGAATAATGAAAAAAAATTGACTTTCGGAAATTATTGACATTTACATTGGTGAAAATATTTCTATGAATCAAGAATATATTTACATGCTTTATAGTTCAGTTATTAAATAATTTCAGCCTACATGTTCTATATTAAGTTATAATATATATTCTCTTAAACTCTTTTATAATATTTTCAGTCTAATTATTTGAGTAACATAGTTTTATTTTGTTTAAAATTATAGTTTGGCTAGAGGATAAGGATGGTTTTTAATTATATATACATTCATTTTTTAATTCATACGAAGAAAGAGCCATAAAAAAACTACATGATAATTGAAATTTTAATTAGAGATAATCAAATTTTTGTCCACCATCTTGTCATGATGTTCATCTTATAATAACAATGTCCATTTTTCATGTGATTAATTTTATCTTATATATAATCTATTTCATAATTGATTTTTCTTTTAAGAGGAATTTCTCTTTACTTACCAATAACGCATTGGCTATTTTTGTTACGTAGAGAAAGAAAGTTGTTATGATTTGGTCATGAAGGACAAATTATAAGCAATGATAGGTGTAAAATGATAATAATATATATTATAATATTTAAAAGATAAAATCTTATAATTCGATTTATAAACCATTTTTGTCTAATTTTATTCCAAGTTTGTTGAAAATCATGGATATTTGTTAATAATTTAACGTGCATGATAATTAAGTAAGCTTATAAACCCATTGTGACCATAAGAGTTATGGACAGTATCACCAACATCATGAAATGTTACGGGTTACTAAAATTTTATCCTCGAACACACACACTTTCCTTCATTTACTAATCCACAGACATCGAGAAACATACAATGTCGAATGCTAGTACAACAAATTGCTACAAAAACCAAATCACTTGTTGCAATGTAAAAGTTTGTGTCTCCACCGTTTAGAAAGTTGTCCATCACTATTTCGCAATTATGTAATCGCAAACTAAAATAACCAAATATTATTCTTTTGTGCCACACATGTGTTAGTGGCAAATCGAGAAAAGCGATCGAAATCGAAGGGAAGAAATATGACTCGATAAGATAAACAAAAGTTCATTCGATGTCTAATTAGAAATACGTAGCATATAGCATCGAGAAACACAATCGAGAATCGAATGAATTATAATCAAATGACTGTTGTCGAATAAAAATTAAGTCATATAAGACCAGGGTTAAAAAGGAATCGTGAGCAATTCGAAGTTCTCGAAAAATACAGAATCGAGAGTAAAGAAAGCCAATGTGGACATCGAGACTTTGGCCAAATTGTGAAGGGAAGTAAGTCGAATGCACGTATAGAGAGCAGTTTTAAAATCATGGGAAAAAGTCGGAGATCGTGAGAACGTGGGAAACTATAGAAGATAAACTGCCATACACACGTAGAACGTGGTAGCAGTCGCGTTAACTGCTCTCGGAAGGCTTGAAGGATGCCCTATAAATAGAGCAAAGGAGAAAGGAACAGGGGGAGCGGAAATTGGCAGAGAACAGGATCAATAGTGAAAAGTCTACCGGAGAAACGACGAACACCATGAAGCTCCTGGCAATCTGGATTTCCTTGCTCACTGAGTACATTTACCGCTTTCTGTATTTTCCTTGGTAATTTATTTTGATGCAACTTAAATTCAGCAATTTTATGTTTCTGTATTTTCAATTCCTTGTCCATTTCAATTTAATGAAAATTTGAGTTTCTGCATTTAGATTTCCTGTTATTTAACATCCTGCAAATCTCAATTTCCTGTCATTTACTTTTCTTGCAATCTCGATTTCTTGTCATTTATATTTGCGTTGTTTTCGATTTCTTGCTATTTACAATTAATGCAAGTTTGGGGTTTTTGCACTTTACGTTTCCTCGCAATTTAACATTCTGCTTTTTCGATTCGATAGTCTTAATGCTTTCGAGACCTTAAATACAAAACATCAAAAACAGTACTTTCGATATCCCGTGATCTTCTATTCTCATACACGTTTTCGATTGAAAATCAAATTGCTAGCCTAAGTAAAAAGAGCTTACGTGGGAGGATTTCGATTAAAGACCAAAATACCCTTAGAATCGAAATCGATCGAAATTCCACCAGAAACAAATTGGCGCGCCAGGTAGGGGGGTCTTGTGTTGAGAAACACAAAATTGGTTAGTTCGAAATTGTATGAGATTAAGGAGTGGGAGAGTCATGAGTCACAGTTCATCAAGTAACCAGTAGTAACAAGTGAGGGATTAAATGTGTCACACCCACCAAATACTCGGGGCAAAGTCATAATGGGAACACACCTGTAGTATCGACAACCGTGAGCATGTCGATACTCGTGAGTAGTGAACAAAATTCGTGTACATTAGCAAACACCCAAGTAGGATCTAGTACTGTGATACCAAATAATATGCAAACTATAGGAAATCCCACAACCACATATGTCAGGCCACGTATGAGTGTAAGATCGCCCGGTTTTCACTTAATAATGTGAGTGGGGTCGGAACTTCTTCAATGCATAGGAATTCGAGGTATAACTTAGGAATGTCCCAAACACTAGGTATGCCACAAAATTTTGGAATCCCTCCGAATTTAGGGACGTCGCAAAATTTAGTAATTCCCTGAATTCGTGGAATGGACAGTAATGTAGACACACAACAGATACCTCCAAATCTAGATCGTAGAGGATACTTAGATCATGGGAGACATGTATTCGATAGAGACTATCATCGATCTAATTTTGATTCTATCGAAAATATGGGTACCGAATATCTAGTAATTCATTAGGAGTACTTAGACAACAAATGGATGAGAGTAATTTTGAAATGGTGAATATGTTATCACAACAATTGACTACAGCCTTAAATCCATTAAGTGCAAAACACTACCGCTAGCTTTGAGATATTAGCGGACCAAATGTCACGAATCTGGGATGCATTAGTTGTGCCTCGACAAACGAGGATAGAAAATCATGCTAATCGGAATACTAATATTAATCCCCCATATCTATTGAGAAGAAATAGAAACAATGACCAACAAGCAGCAGTATGGGAAATGAGTATCAAAATGTGAGGAATGATATTTATGGAAATTTGAACGAAGGATTTCAAAACATACACAATCGAATAATATGTTGGGACAAAGAATGAATTTACAAGGGATGGAATTTAGACCACCCAATCGGACATATTTTGTGTCTCCCTTTCCAAATGCGATTCTCGAGACGAATTGCCTCGAGGATATAAAGTACCCAAATTCACCAAATTTGCTGGAGAAGTTGGTGAATCGACTATCGAGCATGTAGCTCGATATCGATCGAATGTGGAGACCTAGCGATGAGTGAGGAATTGAAAATGAAATATTTCCCGAGTTCTTTGACTAAGAATGCTTTTACTTGGTTCACGTCATTGCCACCTAATTCGATATATAATTGGCCGCAATTGGAAAGAAATTTTCATGAACAATTTTTTAGAGGAGAAACTCAAGTGAGTCTCATCGACTTGATGAATATAAAAAGATACAATCATGAAAGCATAGATGATTATTTGAATCGATTTAGACAAATGAAATCGAGATGTTTCACTCAAATTCCCGAATATGAATTAGTCGAATGGCCTCTGCAGGTTTAGAATTCTCGATTAGGAAAAAACTAGTCAATTTACCATTAAATGACATGGCTCAATTAGCCGACAAAGTGAGGAGAGTGGAACAAATCGAGTATGAGAAACAAAGGTATAAGAAATATGAGAAACCTCTAAAAAGGAAAGAATAGCATACATAAATGATGTATATGAGACAGATAATATGACATAAGATGATATTGAAGAAACTGT